AGGACGCAGGACCCAGGACCCAGGACCCAGGACGCAGGACCCAGGACCCAGGACGCAGGACCCGCCGCAGCTTCCTCCTGTCGCTTCCCACCGGCTGTGCTCGCCGGGGTTTCCGGAGAATCCGGCCGCTGGGTCCGCGCACAGAGGCTCCGATGGAGGTTTGGCTCGCATTGGTGGAGGCCGAGCTGTCCCCAGACCTGCAGTTGGCCAAGCGGAGACCCCGAGAGCCGGGTTTCCGTTCAGGGCTGCAGGCCGGGGAGGCCGCAGACGAGCCCTCCTCTTGCCCGGGGGCAGCTTCGTGTTCTGGTCACACGGTGGACTGTTTGGATGAGGCCCACCAGCACTCGCGGGGGGGGGAGGGCGGGGGAGTGCTGTGTGCTGCTCACCCCACCAGCTCAATGCTGCTGTCACGCTCAGCACCTCACAGCCCGAGGGACGCTCGGCCACAATCCGCGTGTCCCGGGCCCAGGCCAGGCGACAGCACAGCCTCACACAGTGTTGGCAGGAGCGCGAGAGAGAAGGGGAAACAGGGCCTCTGTCTCCTTTTCCAGACCAGAGGGCGGGGCAGCCTGCTGACGGCATCCACTCCAGTAGCCAATCTCGGGGGGAAAGGAACCCCTAGAAACAGACCCTCCTGCCGCCTGTGAAACGAATGAAAACGGGTGAATCCATGAAACCGAGGTGCCGCCTCTCAAACCGTCCCGTCGCGGCCACGCTCCACTCTAACGTGATTGGCAACTGCCCGGCCAGCGGGGCTCAGTGGTTGAGCATCGACCTATGAACCAGGAGGTCGGGGCACCTGCCCAGGTTGTGGGCTCGATCCCCAGTGTGGGGCGTGCAGGAGGCAGCTGATCAATGACCCTGATCATTGATGTTTCTCTCTCCCTCTCCCTTCCTCTCTGAAATCAATTTTTAAAATGTTCAATAACGGGCCCCCTCATAAAGGTATTTGTGGAGGCCATGTTTACTGATGGACCATTTTCAAAATTAGACCCAGAAAGTGTTAAACAGGATAATATGCAAGCACCCCCCCCCGCCCCCGCTGCCATCACTGAGCCAGACCCACCGTCCTGACCTGAAAGAAGGGCCCTTTCCTAGGGCCCAGCCCAGCACCTGTCCCCGCTGACAGTCCTTGTCCGTCGCTGGAGACTTCGTAAAGTTTGGGGACATTGTTCTCCACGGACAAACTCCGAGCCGTGGCCCAGGGGTGGGGTTGAGCTGCAACATCTCTGCCACCGGCTCCACGTCCCCCAGCTCTGGCCGAGCCGTTACAAGGCTCTTCTATCCCGTGTGACTCACAGGACATCACCTGACACGGGTTTAAAGACGACTTTGCCGCCAACAATCCCAACCTGCTTTCTCCTTCACCATCCGTGGACTCAGCCCAACAGCCTGGGCCACAGCCTCCCCCAGGGCAGACGGGCCCAGGAACAGTGACTCGCTGTTTGGAGTTAGGTTCTGGGGCCCGGGGCCCGAGGGCAGCGGTCGGTTGGTTGAGACTGTCAGCTGGCGGCATGTGGTGCTGGGGGGTCACACACAGAAACAGACGGAGCCCACGTGCCCAGCCCTGAGGCTGAGGGCCTCGCAGCGTCCTCCGCCCTCAGGTAATGAGGGGGGTGCGCCCCGTGCACCCCCAGGGCAGAGGGGCCCTCGGTCACCAGCCAGCCCAGCCTGGGGGCTCCCAGTCCCCCCACCCCCCTCGATCACAGGCCCCAGACAGCAGGAGGGAGAGGGAGAGGGGCAACCAGACTCTCCGGTTCACACAGAGCAGGGGTGGGGCGTCTCCCGTCAGGGTCACAGTGGGTCCTGCGCGGGGGACACTCCCCGAAGGTCCCCTCTGACCTCACTGCACAGAGAACTTCGCTGTCACTCGCCACGAAAATGGCCGATTCAAAAGCAAGTACAGTGGGGCCTTGACTTACGAGTTTAATTCGTTCCGAGACCGAGCTCGTTAAGGAGCTCATTAACTCAAATTACTCTGTCAACTCAATGCAAAAAATCGGCC